CCCATCCATCATTATCATAGGTACATATATGAACTGCTCTCCAGATTAATTTCACCTAGAATTCAAGGATAAGTGCCATCTCCTGTTTATTCTCTGTAAAATTTCCCTGGTTGTTCATAGGTTTGTCTTCCTAATATGAGGATAATCTCAGCCTCTTTTCCTTAGGATGCCTTTTCCTTCTAGGATGCCCAGATGGGCTCTTCTACAGTCATCTCTGGCCTCTCCATTACAAAGAATTCTGGACTTGGGGCTTTCCTGATATCACTGTCTTTTCCGGATGCTCACTGGAGCCACTTCCTGTCCTTAGGGCAGTGGTGGCGTGCTACGGCACGCGTGCAGCAGTGGACTGTTTGCATCACTGAACGCTCTCAAAGGTTCCCATCACTGCCTTAGGGAGACACGAAAGTCAGAGGGAATATGAAAATGTGTAGAAAGGAAAAGGAGTTTGCATTCCAATGAAATAAAGGAATGGGCATAGTTAGCCAAAAAGTGTAAACAAGAGGGAAGCACCAGGAAGCAATGGACTGGCTGAAGGGTGGGTACAAAGCATTCGGGGCTCTACACATGTCTGGAACAAATACTAAGCTGGAGGGCTTTTCTGGTACCCTGACAGTGCCCAGACATTCAGAAACATCTCTGTTCTTCGGGGAGGGGAGGGTAGAAACTAGGCCAGTTAGAGCTTAGGACTGAATACTACTGTATTTCCTTAGGAACTGACAAAAAAGAACTTATGATGCACATTCGGTGACAAATGCTTTGTGGGAATGGTGCATGGCAGCTCGGTGGTGATCTGTGCTTTGGAGAAGCTGCTATAATCATTTCTGTGTAGCTGCATGGACACATGTACAGCATCACTGCAGAGACCCAATGTTCTCTTCACTTCTCACACAAGAGACCTGAGCTTAGCCTCTACCTGATGATAAAGCTAATGATACCCACTGCGCTCACTGTATAGAGCATAAAATAAGAGGCACAGTCACAAATGTTAACAATAATTTTTCATCTAGTTCCTGATAATACTGGTCACTTAAATAAGCTAGAAAAGTCCCATATAAGTTCCATTAAACTTTTCTAAGAGGCTTCTAGTTTTGAGGTCTTAGATTATAGCCCAGAACAGCATGTAAAGCAATGACCCTTTAGGGTGGCAATGCTCCACACAGTAGCACTGGACTTGTGAAAGCTTACTGCCATAGGATTGAGACACTTGAGATGCAGTACTGCTCCTTTCAATTGTGCACAGTTATTTAGTTTCCAAGCAGTGTCAATAAGAAATATACTAAAATATAAAACCATCTACAAAAGCATATTTTTATACTAAGGTAAAACAAACAAAAATATCTGTAATGAAATCATGGATAAATTATATTTATTAACAAATTAATTTGCTCATAAAATGCCATCTGCAAGACACCCTCAGTTTCCACTCAATTTGAGGAGGCCTTTGACTGTTTTCAGATGCAGCTCCCAGAAAATTCTTTTAAACCCCACTGTGGAACATATGAGCCTGCTTTTGGTTGCCTGGAATGTCAATACATTTGGTGACATAAATTTGGAAACACATTATTTGTTTAAATGACTTACCTCAATTGAAAAGGTGACATTTTGCAACAATGTTGGTTAGATTTCTATTATCTTTACTATCAATACAGAAATTTTAAGCATGAAACTGTTTAACAGATAAAAAAAAAATCCCCACTAGGTAGACATTTCCCCACAAGTATAGACATTTAAGTAAACATGGGCATATAAATACACACACACATATCACATTTCAATAAGTTTTAATATCTCAATTCACAAATCTAATCCTATCTGCTTATCTACATATCTTGGCATGATGTCTGTTTTGTGGTCCTTTGGCTCTCTCTTCTCCCTCCCAACCCAAATGCACTACACTAACACAGTATGTCAAACTCTTGTCACCCGAGTCAGGGGAAGAATTGAGAACACTCAGAAAAATGTTGCAATTTCTCTATGGATAGACATTTTGGTATAAAACTCAAAGTAATCTACCACTCAGCAAAGATGGCTACAATGACTAGGGATACAGAGCCCAGTGCCTGGAACTCTTGGCCCCAGGAATTGGGGCTGGATTCTAATGCTAAGTGCTCTTGAAAAGTGCATCAAGATTTAATAGGGTGAATTTGCAGACTTGGTCAGAGTGTTAGCCACATAAATTCCATTAGGATCAAAGCTCCATAATGCTCTAACCCATCTATATTTATGTCCATATTTGAATCTACATTCTCCTAAGCTCTCCGTGGAGCTCTCTAGCCTCTCATTCTCTTTCCTCCTATTTTTGGTTTTCACATCGGCCCTGAATTTTGTATATTCCTCTGAGTTCAATGCCCTGAGCTTCTCTCTGCTCCTCTTTAAATCCTTCCTTGAGACGTGTATTTTTAAATAAATACTCTTTCCACTGATCACCTATCCTAACTCTCTTGCACCTGACCCATTTTCCATACAAAGCCCTATCAAAGTCTATTTGCACCATCACTAAAGGCTGCTCCTGGGATAATCATCTCCAGAGTTGACGAAAGCTGAAACTCTGTTTGAAAGTGCACCTCTCCTTGGTGAGCCAGAGTGTGGAATGAAAGCATGAAGTCGGGCCCGAATCTGGGTCAGCCCATTTGTGAATATATGAGAGGGAGGATTATAACCGAACGGATCTCACTGGGTCTGCAACCTATCACTCCACTAATGAGGTATGAAAACAGGCTAGCAGACTGCTGTGTAGAGCGTGCTATTTCCAGGCCAGTCCTGAATGGCAGCAGTGCTGTGTAAGGTGAGAAAAGCAGACACCAGGGGAAAGAAAAGGATAAGCATGAAGCTCCAGTCTTCCATTACAGTCCTCCTTCAAAGGAGATGTCTTTTGGCTTTTAAACCGAAAAGGCAGTATTAAGTCATCCAGTAGAATTTAGGCCTAGAATTTCTCAATAACTAGATAGTAGAGCATAGTAAGAAACAAGCAGACAGACTATAATAAAAGAAATACAGCTGAAGTTGGATTCCGTATCAGTTTCTCCTGTTGTTTATGTTATTTGCTTAACATTATGGCTTTGAAAATGTAATCAATAACCATTTTTGAAATCCATTCACCCATTTATTGAATATCTACTATGTGCTAGGCATTTGCTAGGTGCTTGGGATACGGAGAGAATGAGAGAGTCCTGGCCCTCATGGAGCTCACAGTCTAGCAGGGGAGACAGACACACAAAAGGGGGTCTGCAACACAGTGAAGGGAGTGTCAGGAAGGGCGTGTGTCACAAGGTACCCACGGAGCCCAGAGGAAGTGCTCTGGCATTAAGCTGGGTGGACCAGGGACATTTTTGCTGAGAGATGACCACTGAGCTGACCTAAAGGAGAAACGAGAGTCCACCAGGAAGACACGGGAAAGATTCTCAGTGGAGGGGAGAACAGGCAGAAATGCAAGGGAGCGTGGCAGAGCACGATATGACAGGGAACCACGGGTAGTTCCATCTGGCTAGGGTTTCATCTGCGGATGAAGAAATGGTGGAATAGGAGGCCCGAAAGGGAGGATGGAACCAGAGAGAAGAGCCTTGAATGTAGGAGTCAGAAAGTTGGACTTTGTCCTGAAGTGACAAGAAGATATTGAAGAAATGAAAGTGGGGAGTGACACGGTCAGATCCACCTGTGAGATCAGCTCATATGGAGGATGGGCAGAAGCAGGAGAGACCAGAGGGAGGGTGAACACTTAAGGGCTGTCAGAGGGTCTGAAGGAAGCGGGGATGGGGAAGAGGTAACAGATTGGACAGATACTTAAGAGAAAGCATGACAAGACTTGATAATGGCACAAAAAGCAAATTGGCCTCAGAAATTAAACGTTAAAAACATACGTCCAAAGGGTCCGAACAACAGCCCCGGGCCTCCTGTCCTTTGCATTGTCATTGTCCACTGCCATCACTGCATCTGCTGAGGAGGACCAGAGGAAGACAAGCCAGAGGGTTCATGGGGGCAGACTCCTCTACTTCCCCCACCACTACCTTTGAGTCTGTGACAATTCAGACAGGCTTCCTGTCACTCCTAAGGAGGAAGAATGTGAACCTACTTTCTTCCTCTGTGTATTTGCAAGCCTTTAGTCACCAATAAGAGGAATCCAATCTAAAGCCAGTGGCTTTTTCCATCAAGTGCTTCAGGCGCTGCAGGCAGCCGCTTAAAAGGTGATGTGTGAGGGGAAGCCCTGTACATGTCTCCCACCCAGGGGCCATAGGCTCTGAAATCCAATCACATTAGCGATTCACTCCTTTGAGAGAGGCTTTGGCCCCTCTGGACTTCTCTTTTACAAGGCCATAATTCCTGAGATACATAGGACTTTTGGCTATTCTAAGCCCAGTGGAACTCTTTTGCTCATAATGCCTTCTGCTTTGACAGAAGGGATGGAGGGAAGGCTGTGTAGGCACCTGCCGAAGAAAGTGATGCAGAAGAGGGACTGAAGGATACCCAAGGTGATATTAAAAGCATGCCTAGAAATAGCCCTGTGAGCACTCAGGAAACTAAAATTCTTAAAGAATCCCTTCCACTTCCAGTGTCATAAAAATCACACTTCTACGTCCTTGCACCTTAAGGGACTTCTGGGTTTTAGCTTTATGATACGCCATTGGCCAATTAAGGCCTGTACTAAGTAACCCACCATCACTTAGTGAAGCGTATGCTACTTATGACCAATTAAAATCTCCAGTGGTATTCATTTCTATGTAATACGATTTCCAATGTATTTTCTGAAACTGTTTTTATACCTTCCAGTTTTCATTCACTCAGTGCAACATGTCTTTTGTCATTCTGAATCATGAAGTGGGAACTGTATTTGCAGAGTGTTAATCAGTCATGTCACAAGTGACAGAAGATCAAGAATCAGACTTTGACCTTGAAGAGTCTCACATACAGCTCAATAAAATAAATAAGAGCTGTCTGCGAATACTCGGTAATAGAGGTTAGAAAAGCGAACCAAACAATGAAACAAAACTTTAAATATTACTTACTTCACTTGTTTGGAGGATCGTGAACTTTGGCAGTTTAGTCTTTGAACTGGCTGTACTGGGCTTTCCATCCAAAAGTGATCCAAATGTCAGATTCCCAAAGCTGTTCTCGAATTCAATGGAAGGTTTCAGTGTGGGAGAGATGTCCGGTGCCTGGTCCTGGCCATCCATGGGTCTTACATATGCCGTTGGCTTTTGCTGCCCCATGCTGGTTTTGCAGTAAAGCCCTGGAGGGAAGTTCTGGACCGCAAGGCCACTGCTGGGAGCTAACAAAGAAGAAGCAACCAGGGGAGACCCAGGTGCTTGCACTGTAAATTCAGATTCTTCTGGAGAGTTGGACTGAAAGATTTCTTTGAAAACATCTTCTCCACCAGCCTTGGGGTTACTGTCTTCCTTTGAAGATGGGTTAGAATCTTCAGCTGAGCCAATTTGGGGCTGTTCAGCTGGATAGACAAAGAAGTCTTCCAGTCTGGCTTGAGGCTGGTCCTGTGTGGAAGTCTGCATCTTGTTTGGCTGACTGCTGGCCTGGCTTGCCAGTACAGAGCTAGAGTTATGACTATCTCGTGGCCACTCGGGCTTTGATTTTCTGTTGCTGTGTATGAGAGTGGAATTCAGTATCACGACGGATGGTGGAGGCGCCGGGGCTGAGGGGTGGGTATTATCCTGGTGAGGTGGGATCATCCGGTTCTTCTGTTCTGGAAAAAAGCTTGGTTCGCTTTTGTTGATGGGAGTCTGGGGCACAGAATTCTTTGGGATTCCCACTAGATGATTCTGATTAGAATGGTTAGCTAGCAAATCCTTCATTTCATCATAGTTTCCAAGCGTGTTCTGGACTCGGTTGGCAAGGGCATCACCTTTGTTTGTCTAAAATAACAAGAAGATGGGGGTGGGAGGAGAGAGAATGAATAGGTTTGTGTTTCCTAATGGTAATGTTTCAAACAGATGCCTTAAGTAGACTAGCAGATAGGGTTCTTTAAAATTGTCATGCTGCCATACAATTTCATACTTTTCATGTGCTAGGTAAGAGAAATATCAATAATGTCACTGAAAGAGCCTCCTGGAATGAATGTGTATGATTAACAGTTGGTGTTCTCCCCAGCCTACTCTTAAACATGCTCCATGGGAAAAAGTTTTTAAATTACATAATTTATTAACTTCATCAGAAAAATTATTTTAGGCCAGATGAACTGAATTCTTACACTACACATTATGTAAATCTACATTATGACTAACAACTCCCATTTACTGATCACTGGAATTATGTTTTTGACACATCAGCCTTTGTATTGCATTCTACCATGAAAAAGGCTTAGCCCTTGGGGTAAGAAACTCAATCATAATGTGGTATCCTGACATGGGAAGGTGAGCAAAGGTATGGGACTAAACAACATCTAATTGAGCTAACTTATGACTAAAATGAATCCAATTCCTTTTAATCAAAGAAATGTATGTTACTGGTGTCTGCCTACATAATATGGGGGCAACTGTGTTTACATGTTGATGAGTCATACTCATTTGCTTTGAAATGATGCAATTGTTGATCAACAGTGACTCAAACTCTCCTGTGTCTTTTCAGTGATTTAGGAAAATTTATTCCAAACTTTAAAGTCATTTAAGTCAATCAAAGCAAAGTCATTTTTTCAAAGTAGTGTAAACTGAATGCGTAGGAATTACAGAGGCAATCAAATCAATCTATGGACAATCAAAAGACCAGCTCACCATCTCCTGTAGGCTACACTAATCCCATAAAATGGCTGTGATTGTTTTTAAAATAATTAAGCTCCTAAGTAGGTTTTTGCAGTAAAGAAAGCAAAGCTTTCATTGCTTATAAAATAGTGGGTAGCTATATACTTGGAAATGATTTTGATGAAAACTCAAATTGTTCATACTTGAAAATCACTTTTACTGTTTTTTTTTTTTTTTACCTCCAGAAGTTATCAAAATGAGTACTGAAGGGCACAGTATTTCTTTGTGCCTAGGATGCACTATCCTGGCCCAAAATATTGCAATCAAAGAAGGTTATCATTGCTCATGGAGCCATCTAGCAATTAGGCCATTAGGCTGTGGGGTTTGCACTGTAGGTGTGCTTCAGATCCCAGAAGCCACAGGTAAGCTCCCCAAGCACAGGAGAGGGTGACCACCTCTCTGATGGCAGACTTTCCACTAATGATAGATGTTTAACATCTAAAGTATGTCATATGCCCTGAAGAGTGCCCAGGTTTCTGGTGTCCTCAGGGAGTCCCCTACCTAAGCCTGGGATCTCAGTCTAATCCTATTTTGTATCACTGTGTGTTGTGCTCTGTATGTGAAGATGAAAGAATATGCAGATGGATGGAGAGTGAAGTGCTAGAAATGGATGAAATCATTCAGGAAAAGAAAATGTAGAACAAAAAGATTAATTGGGCTCAGGTACCAACCCTGGGAAACATCAACCTTGAAGAGACAGGAGGAAGAGGAAGACCCAGTAAAGCATACCAAGAAGGAACAATCACAGAAAGAAGTAAGCTAGAAACTTTGGCCTCATTATTAGCACCATCTACAAGCACTATAGGAAGTATTTCATCACACCACATGTTAAATCATATAAGAAACTTCCAAAGAAACAAGGGCAATTAGAGAATTATGAATTTCAAAGATTAAAGAAAAGTATGCTAAATATATGCTAAGGGAGTTCTGTGGGGGCTAGGGATCTTTAGAAATCCAATAAATAGATGTTGATCTTAGTTTACGTATCCTTAAGAACATCTTGTATTGCATCATATGCAACCTTGGTGCTGAAGTAGTGATTAAACAATTAAGATTCTATGTAACCATCCACTGAATAATCTCTCCATTTTCTAAAGTACATTTGATAGACGTATTTAAAAGATATAGATGGGTAGAAATCACTTTTATTCCCTAAAATTCTCCAGGATTGTCATTTTTAATGGCAGAAATTACATTTGAGCAAATGCAAGAATAAATTCTTTGCATGTAGCAGTCTCCTTCAACTGAGCTGCACAACGGACTCTTTGGGCGGCAGCCAAAGCCAGTCTCTCTCTACTCAATCCATAAATATGAAACAAAGAAATGTCATCCATGCTGAGGGCCCAGAAGAACTCAATGCAAGCTTTAAACACATGCAGGGATTTTCTGGCCTCTCAAACTGACTAGCTCTTGGGCCAGATGACTTCATGGCTACCTGACACTGATACCTGGCTATATTCAAGGATCTGACACTACCAGGGCAAACAACACTACAGACTCACAACCTTGTCCCTAGGTGTTACAGAGACCAGCAAATGCTGCATGGCCCAGAGAAGTCATCCCATCTCTTTTGGGCCAACACCATCAGGATCTAATAACCTCACTTTTTATGTGCTTGTGAGGTTAGTCACATACCTGCACTAGCTTTAGTAATAAATAAAAGAGACATGAGCATCTTGTCCTCGTTGCAAAGAAGTGTGTCTACTTTTTACATCGTTTAACTTGTGTTTATGGTTATAATGAGCTGAGTTTCTGAAGCAAGCTTACACCTTTTTTTTTTCACATGTAGGTTTTAAAATATACTTGAAATTAGCAGAATTTCTGAATGGGTCAATACCTAAAACTGTGTCTAAATGAATAAAATCAAGGGAAAATTCCAGTTTGCCTTACTATGTCTAGAAAAATCAACCTCCTTCTATCTATAAATTAACCACTGGTATTAATTAAATATACACATAAGCATATACATGCTAAGATCTCATTCACAGAATACAAGTGTAACTGTTGAAGGTCAGAGGTCACTTTTTATTCATGTTTACCCAAGACTTAGCACCATGCCTAATGCATATAAAGTATTTTATAAATCATTGCTTAATATCATAGAAACAAACTGTAATTCATATCCTGCCTGTGTCAAAATAAAGAATCTGCAAAGACCTAGAGAAAATTGTACATAGGCTTATTTGGATACTACAGTTGAACAACACGTTGAAATTTGAGCTTCCTGGTAGCTACCTGGTAGCTAAAGCCAAAAGAAAAAGCTCCTAGGCGAAAGACAGCTTTATCTGATGGGGAAAAAAGGCATGTCTCAATTCATTAAAGAAGACAAAGGGCTAGTTGATACTACAGTGTGAAAAAAAATTTCTCTATTGGCTCATATATAAAAAACCTCTGAGCAATAAAACAAATCATGCTTTCAGCACCAATTTTCTAGAAAATGCAAAGATGTTCCTCACGTGGCTGTTTTTCATGATGACCAAGAGCTTCGCACTGAAGTCTAACTCAGTGAGGACAGAGCTGCATGCGCAGGTGGGGTCTCTAGGCTAACAGGAGCCGGGGGCGTGGCTTCCTTTGGCACTACTCCATATGAGTGGGACTAGGTTAGGCCGCAGGAACGGAGCCCTGACTTCTCCCCTAGTCAGAGCAGACAATTCAAAGTCGAGTTCACTGGTGACACTTTTATTGCTGTCGAAGAAGAAAGATGCAGATGCTTTGCATAACAGCCATGCTGAGCCAACAGGTGGAAATTACTATGGTCATTCTCATGACATATTGGTAGATTTGGAAGGAGGAAAGACGAGGAACAGACAACATACAGACACAGAGCTTCCAGTCTACCAGTCAATGGTCACCAAATAATGTCCAGTCCAGTCTCCCAGAATAAACTTTCTGTCTTCTCAAGACAGCAGATGGGCAACTGTCAAACAGTCTTTAAATTTCTCAAGATATAGATGAGGTGCACTAGATAGAAAACCCAATGGGGCTTGAGATACATTGATATACACCTATAGGATGTATTCTCATTATGCAACATAAGCAACTTCTGATTCACACTAAATGCTCCTTTTTACCATCCCAAGTCTTAGTAATCCCATTAAGGTGCAGGATATTATTGGCAGTTTTGATCGAATATTATACACATGGCAAAGATGAAACTTAGCCACTTCATTCAATTATGGGCTTCTTTTAATTTGCCCACTTTTTTACTTCCCGTTCTAGGTAATTGGTTGATTCCTGAAAGGTAACCTCTGCAGCCTTTATTTTGTAAGTAATCACGATTTCTCCATCATCAAGGAAATGCATTTTCCAACTTTTTTCAGGCATAAATTACATGTCTGGTTTGTGGCTCATGACTAACAGCATTCCTTCATTTAAGATTTTGCCTCTCATTACTTTAGGAAATGCAAACTTCACTTAGTTTGCTTCTAATGCTATCTAAAAATAAGTAGTATAATTTCATTGCCAGACTAATGTTCGAGGAGTACTGTACTGTAGTAGTTATTTTTAATAAAAGAATCCAAATAATTGAAGTTTAAGGTTCATTTTTTTCTTTTTTATTGCTGTTTGAAGTGATTTAGTAATTCTATCAGTCTAATCCTAAGATTTTCACAGATAATCTAAACTGTACATTGTCATTTCTTTCTTCTAATTATACAAGTGACAATGCCTTAATTCTGTATAGTGCTTTAGAGAGTTCATAGCAAGATTTTGCAAATTGTTTCATTTGATTCTACAACACCCAAGTGAGTCAACAGAGTAGCTCTGGTTCCACCTGGACTTTACCTGCACTAGCACAAATGACACTGGATAAGCCATTGACACCTCTCTGCACCTCAGATTCTTCATTCTCACGGAGCTGTGACAAGCTACAAAATGTTAACTATTGCTATTGTTAGGATTCATCTCCAAAAGGAGGAAGCTATGGGCCAGAGACATTAAGTTTGTTCCCCACAGTCACCTAGCAGATAAGTTTATCAAGCCTTTTGATTCCTGCCAAATATTTTCCTGTTATACATATAGCATTGCAAAGAACTGGGTGCAAAGTCTAAATATACAATGTACAAGGATACAAAGATGCAGAGGTACCATCTAATTTTCTGAATTAAAATTTCTCAAGAGAAGCATGAGGAAAACATGTATTTCACTTGTTATAAGGAGCGAGCAAGCACAGCCATAACACCCTAGCCCAGTGCCTTGCACACAGTGAGTACAGGCCAGAGTCTCATGAGTCTTCGATGCTCACCTAGACTGCTCAAATGCCTATATCTTTAGTAGGTACTTCAGAAGACATCTTTATCAACAGCACAGCACAAACTCTAGTGTGAAAGTTATAAGCTAGGAAAACAGCCCCAGAGAAAGAAGTTGCCCACCAACAACTAAATCTGGGAGAAGCCTACATTATTTTCATTCCAAGTATAGTAAAGGTGAAGCAAAGAACAGGAAGAAAACAGGGAGGAAAATCAGAGATAATCATTTATTTCAGCTGGAGAAGAGCAATCTTAGGTTCTGGAGTTCACATCAGCTGATTAGGAAGCACTGATGCTAACAGTTAAGGGATCAGACAATGTTTTAGGCTCTAGGGTAGCAAGAAATTTCCTGAAAGTCCTGGTCCACCACCAGGAAGTTTGAGCTTCAGTTTTATAAGAATTTCCACTATAATCCTATGGAATAGTTATAGCCTCATATCAACCAATAGGTTGTAAGCCAGTCTTAAAACTTCTACTGCCACTGAAAGCCACACAATCCAAGATTGTCCACATCAATCTTAGATTGCAGTGACTTTGGAGGTCCACATCAATTCTAGAGTCTTAAAATGATAAAATTATGGAAGAAATAGGAGTTTTACTCAGCAATTTTCCAGGGAAACTTGAACACAGACACAACACAAGATACCAACCAATCATCAAAGCAAGGATGAAAGAAAAAGAATTACAGGTTTACCAACTGTTAGTATGATTCCTTTCCTTCATAGTTCTGATTCTAGAACAAATGCCATTGCTATGGTTTATGTCTAGATGTTCCCCCAAAGCTTCATGCAGTCATGGGAACAGGCTTCTAGAGTTTGTGACTGATTCATGGTCCAATGCTGGGATTATGGGTGTGAGTGCCACACACACCACAGGGTAAGTAGCCTGCATAGAATAAAAGGGACAGGAAGTCTTCTCATTTACTCCTCCCCTTTTCACTCTTGTGGCTTTTGCTGTCTTCTGCTGCCATGAACTGCTGCTCCCCTGCCATGTGCTACCTTGCCTTGGAGCCAGCTGATTATGAACTGAAACTTCCACAAACTGTGAGCTAAATAATTCTTGCCTTCCTTAAATTTGGGCATTGAATATTTTGTCTCAGCAATGAGAGAAAAGTAGCCGTCACAGTCCTTCCCCCATAAAGGAGTATGAAGGCAATATGCTACTACTCATATACTAGATCTGGCCCTGCACAAGACTAAAATGTTCCCCATCTGTGTCTGTACCTAATGTACCCTTGTAGTATTAATAAAGACAGCTTTTGAAAACTTCTAACAATGCTAAGAATAGTTTCTTTTTCAACCTCTTTCTTAAAAATACACTGCTAAAGTCCATAAATAAATATGAATCCAAGTAATAAGCCTTGTTATGACAAGTTATTTACCTTAAAGATATAAGATCATTATTAATTCACTGATTAAAAGTCATGAGTGGAGAACAAAACAAGAGTTCTTTACCTGATAACTGTGTTGAAGCCAGGGTGGATACACATATTAAAGAACATGTTTTTTGAGTAGAGCTCATTTTTCTAACACACTTAAAGATCAGTACAATTCATGTAGCTGTTCCTCCTCCATCTCAAGAAGGGGCATGATACCTATCATCTTCTGAACTCTTCACCACAACAAAGGCGATGACTTCCTGCTCTAATATCAGTCTTCCTTCCATTCACTTGCTTTGTTCTTATCCCTGTATTCTGTGCCCATTCTACTCCCCTAGCTCATGGTTCAGTACTTGTTCTCCATCCTGTATTTTAAAAATTTCCTCAGGGACCTTGTTCCATTCAGCTTGACCTCTCTCCCCTATATCTTCCACCTTCTCCTTCTCCATTGATCTTGGATTCTTCCCACCTATTTCTAAACATGCCATGCTCTTTTCACTTTTAAAAAAGCTTCCCTCCATATAATTACTAACTCTAACTTCTAACCTCCCTTCCCTTCCCTTCCCTTCCCTTCCCTTCCCTTCCCTGCCTTTCCTTTCCTTTCCTTTCTTTTCCTTTCCATGTTTCCTCCATGCAAAACCTCACTACAATATCAAGGGCTCTTTCTTAACTGTTTCCTCTCTAAATCATGGCAGTTTGGTTGCTCAGGATGACCACTATATCAACAAAAACAATGCTCCTTAAGGTGGCCCATTATTCCTTAACTGCCAAACCCAACAGCCACTTAACAGTTTTTACCTTTCCTGACATCTATGAAGTATGTGACTAGCAAATTGTCCGTAAAATCATCTGTTCCCTTGGTTTCCATTAAGTGTTTCTTTCCTACTCCCTTTCCTACCTATCTGATGATTCCTTTTAAAGTTACCTTCCACCTGGTCTCTGCTCTCACTACCACTTTTACACACTAAATTCTGCCACTTCTAGAACTCTCAATTCTTTTTATTATTTGGTATTCTAACTCAGAGCTTCCACTGCTGCCTATATGACCATAACAGGTAAATTGCTGTTTTGAGTATTCTGGTGAGTTACAGACACATATATCAGATACCTACTGGAAGTCTTACCCTTGATATCCCTGTGGCACTGCAAATCCAATATTCCCCAATCTGTATTGATTTTTCTTTCTATATGCAGCAATCTTGTTGTCCTGAGCAACTTGCTAAAGATACCCCAAACCTCTCGAGGTGTCCTGTAGTCCAGCATCCAATTTGACATCCAATTCCAGCATTTCAATTTCAACACTGTACTTTAAAACTTTCCTGCCAGGAGCTTCCCTTAGTCTTCCTCTACTTTCTCCTCTCTCCTACCTACTCTTCACATTGCCCAACACCACTTTCTAAACTGTCTATCTGTCCTGTTAGGGTTGTATTCTAACATAAAAACTTGTAATGACTTTTCTTCATGCACAGAATCATGTTCAAAATCCTTGGAATGAGGTATGCCATATTCACGGGTCTTTCTCCTGCCTGTCTCTCTCTCACAGTAACCATGCAGTCATGTCGTCACTTGCTCATGCTGATCTCTGCCACTGGACTAAAGTTTTCTTGAAATCAAGGACTATATTTTACTGCCCTTGTCTAAAAGAGTGACTAGAATATAGTAGGCCTTTGAAATGTTGGTTAAATTAGTCATACATCTAAATGCACACATTCAAATGTAGTATATAAACTGAATTCATCAAGGTACGAAAGATGCTTTATATGATTAGTGATTAGTCACAGATTGCAAATCAGTAGCTTAGATGGCGTGAGTCTGTTTGTCAGGATTACCAAGCATGAAAAGCACACAGATGAGTCAATCGAGAACTCCTTGCTAGTTTTGAACATGCCAACAAGGCTCTGGTGTCACTAGCCACTAAGAAAAACAGCATAATCTGTTCCAAGTTCCAAAGTAGTAAAATTCCAAAGTAGTATAGTATCGGGACTTACTCTGTCCTTATTAAGAACATTTCCTTTCTAGAAGTCACTGTGTTTTAAACAATGTTCTTCTAAAATCACAACTATTGAAACATTTCACTATTATTTTATCTCTTACATCCTTTTGGTTTCATTACACAATATTACACTGCTACTAAACTTAAAAGAATATCAGCTACCAGTAATTCAATGATTCTTCTATGACAAGTTCTTCCAAGTTGCCTTAACTCTCCCACATATAGAAAATTCAGAGGCAATCACTGTAAAATCAACACTTGTAGATACAGCAGTTTGACTGTTTCTGGAGCTTCACACTAGCTAGAGTACCTCTGGAAAATCAGTCTAACTCTACTCCCTCCTCTGGTTGAGGTAGTCTTTTAACTCATGATTATTACCACCAAGAAAAATGCTTGTCCTTTCCCCTTTCATCCATCCTACTTCCTTTTTCCTTTTAAACAACTTCTTCGCATTTCACACTATCTAAGGACAGTAGGGAAAAATTGCAGTTCAGTTATATGATTAGTTTCTTAGTTCACTATAAAATAAGTTTTGTGCTAATATCAATTAGAGAAATTTCTATGCCCATATCTGGTACCCTGAGCAAGTATTTTAAAGATAACAACATGTAATGTGTTAACTATTGTTATTCTCATATTATTTTGTTATGAAATTGTGTTTTACATTTTTACCATAAAAATTTTACAAACTCTTCAAGTGAAATGAAAAACAAAATGCATTTAACTTTTAAAAATTGGCTTTTCCCCTTATTTTAGGTATGTGATTTCCAAAGGGTACTCAGGCCACTGAATAGCTGCTAACAACCCCAGATTGAAAAAAAAATCAATGGCCTTGCACTAACTGGGACGAGAAATAGAAATATATCCTTTAACATTTTGCTAGAGTCTTCAGGGACTCCCTAGCTGATCACAGAAGCCCTGGAACGTATAGGAAGGGGACACTGTTTACTGGAACAAGTGTTGGGCAGAAAGGGGCTCCTTGGAAATAGGAAGCCACACAAGTCTCCTTCCAAACTTACTGTGCTTCCTAAAGAAGAGGGATTTTGTTCCTGAAGACTTCCTCAGAAACCTGAAATTGCCTCAAATATACCTTATGAATATATTTCACTTGTAAGATATATTCTCCTGGAATTGATTTAGGTGTTTTAAAAATAAGTTACTGTTGATTAGTCAGCTCAAAAACAAAGCAAGCAATAAATGTCCAGAAAGATAAATTACATACATATTCAGCTACCTTGTAGGGCTCCCCAAAAAGATCAAAGCCTGAAGAAAAGAGGTCATCTTCTTGCTGAACTTCTTGACTCCTCCGCTCCCACTCCCTTTTTTTAAGCGCACTACGGTCTTGCTCATAGTGACTGACATGAAAAGGAAAAGACAAGAGAAACAGATTGATTAGTCCATGTGAATTATCCAAATTTCCCTTGTCATCAGTAAGAAAAGAAAAATGTAAGTCAACACTTCTCAACTTGATACTGCAGAGAAAGGAAAGAATTTTTTTGAAGATCCTGAGTGGTTCTTGAAGCAAAAGAAAAAGATAGTAAACTTGCTTATTGGAAATTGCACTCATGACCACAAAGGTAGAGCAGAACTCTCTTCCCTTATCCTTATTTGATTACCACAAGCAATTTCATATTCCCCAGAAGTCACTCTGCTTTGCAAAAAACGTACTGAGTTAGAGTCACATTGTGTTGCCTACTACCTCAGGCTCAGAATCTACAGATATCAGAAAGACATGAGGGAAAGGAATTATCAAAGTATGGAGTTCCAGATAAATTGGGATACTGTCACAAATGCAGAGTTACAGTAAGCCTGTTTTAGTGGAATCACAGAGAGGTCTAAAGCTGCTAATCTCTCTTGAGGGTGTACATACCCCCAAATAAAGAACCTAAATACCCACATTCCTTTGCATTTGGTTGCTTTTGTTTGTCTCACAAGTTTATAGTCTACAGCTTATCTCATGAGTGACTAGATGCTGGTTGGGAGTATCATCCTAAGGAAAGAAGTCGAGCTCAAGCAACAAAATATTAACCCCAGCAATGAAAGAAAACCTATGCCAAACTGTTTGAATGATCTTAACACACAAATGTTTTAAGAACACTAACTGTGACAAATCACAGTTCAAGCTCTCCCATGGAAGCACCAGCGGCATCTAGATAACATTTTAGATATATTATGTGGTCACAGGAAAAATCTATTGCCTTCATCACACGAGACTGAAAATTAAACCATAATCTGAAGTCTTACAAGTTGTATATCCCTCATCTGAAAATATCTAAAATTCAAAGTGCTGCCAAACACAAAATGTTTTATGTACTGACATAATGCAAGTACAAAATTCTACACCTGACTTCATGTGACAGGTCACAGTCAATTTACAGGCATACTAAAAATATATGAAATTACCTTCAGGTTATGTACATATGGTTACTACGGAACAAAAAATTTTCATTTTTACACTTGGACCCCATTCCTAAACTATCTGATTATATATATTTCAAAGTTCAAAAACAAAAACATCTGAATATCAAACACTTCCAGTCACAAGCATTTCATAAAAGGGATATTTAACATGCAGTATATATTTTGTTTTGTTCACTCTTTTTTTTCTATAAACTTTATCTAAAGGGACTAAATATATGCTAAGAAAACTTAAATTATATCAATATGTATAAAACACTTAGCAAGTGCTATAAAATGTTGGTTTCTTACTTCATGTTAATATCATCATGTTAAGACTTAATTAGGTTGACATAAACATGAATATAATGGGTAAAGGAATTATAAGAGATATATTCATATAAAAGTAAAATTAACAGGTTTTGAATACATTTCAAATCTTAAAGCCTAACTTGGTAGACTGGTTGGCTTCTAAGCATCATAATTTTAAATTACAAAATAAAAGCCTACAGTACACACTACCTACAGAGTTTAACAGGATGCTGATCTACATGGAATATAGGATGCCTCTGTATTTAATCATTCACCATTCTTCACAGGAATCCTTGAACTGGAAAATTCAAAATGTCCCTGGCAGCCGTATCTTCTGGATAAAACACTTCCATTTGTCCATTTAAAAATAATGGTGACACTTCAGGGTTGTATAAATGCACACCCACTTTCACAGTGCAGACCATGCCAGATGCACAAGCCCTTATGGACCATTCACAAATATGTTCTATAAGTATTAGCACACTATGAGGAAAGTAAAGAAAAGCACCAGACCCCTCCCCAAATCTCCAACCCTCCATCAGTGCCTTTCCCAGTCAGAAAGATGCCAAGTCCAGGCCCCAGAAGATGGCCTTGTTACTTTTAGTCTAAGACGCCTTCCGCAGGGGTAATGTTCCCTAATATCATATTTCATTTCATTCATGAGTCAAGATCAGAGCCCTAAACTACAGCTATGTGCCCAGTGGCTTTGCGTTAGAGACTGATGTGCAAGGAGACAGACAGGGTCACATCTTCAGTCCATTAAGCATGGAACATGAGCTCACACCTAAACACCACATATCAACCAGAGGTAGCCCAAGCCCATCAATTTGTCAAAGTGTAGGAAAGACAGGATGACAGAGGTGGGGTGGAGTAACAAGTTAAAGCAATACTCAGCAGGGCAGGGGGAATGAGGATTTGTTGCAAAGGAGGCTACTTAATTCCTTTGCCTTGCAGGGCAGATGATTCTCCACACACAAACAAGAACCAAAGTCTTCTCTTCCCTGGATTGTGAGCAAGATGTCAGTTTCCTAGCTATCTGTTCTTTTCATGCACCTGACAGCCCCGAATGACAGACCCATAGATCATATTTAATTCTCCCGTGAAGAAAACTAAAGCACTTTGGTCTCTTGGCTTTGCAAACTACCTTCTCTCTCCTGGAAGGGGAAGATATAATTAAAACCCTGAAGGAAAAAAGGAGAAGAAGAAAAGGAAACATGCTTCAACTTGCATGACAAGCATGCGAGCGGCCAGCAGTAAGGGCATTTCCAGGGCTGTAGACGCAGCTTTGATTTGTTAGGAGGCTCTTGGCTGCATTTTGGATCAGTTCATGAACTACCAACTTCCAGACACAAATTTGAATAGCAGATTGAGTGTGCACGCGGGTGTTATCTCTTGCAAGCAAAACTGCCTGCTACATTTCTCAACACTTCGAACAAAGAACACTTAATTCTCCTATCTGGTGAGAACGAATCTACCTTCATAGGTGCCACTGCTCTTCAAAGGCAGCCAAATAGCTCCAACTTTCTCTTTCTTGCTCAGCAAGGCATTGTATTGAAAGCTTCACACGGCGAGGTCTAATGAGGAATGAACTACACGGTGACGAGACTTTCAGTGTGTAACGTCACTGATTTCCGACAGAAATCAACATTACTAATTTGAAGCACCAGCTAATTAAAACCACAGCTATGTATTTAGCCTCTTGTTATACCTACTGCAGTTCATAATTATGAGGACTTCTTTACCCAATTAAAGTTCTTATGATTCAGGCAGGTTGCATTTGAACCTGTGAGCCCTGCAGAGGCTGCAGAAATGCATATGTCTGTGCCCCGACGATTCGATGTATCTTTACACTTCCAGGTTTGTTTTCCAAAGGAAAAAGGGCTTCAGGGCCCACAAAGAAATGCACAAGTCAGAAACTTGAATTCATCATCACATTATTTTTCTGAACAATCTGAGTTTATTCACAGTGATGAGGACAGGATGAATTGGTCCAATCAGCATGAAAACCCATCTTCCTTTTTGAGAAATGAAACTGAAAAGCCTGAGTCAAGGATTCACCACTCTTAACAAGTTAGGATAATTTTCTAGCTTTTTTTCCGCCGGGAGATAATGTGATTTGCCACATTTGAAGGATATGAAAACCACTGTCCAGTCAAAATCAAATTTATTCTTTGGTTAATTAGCCAAAGACCTTTGCTTTCTTTCTCGAGCCTCCCTTTCACAATCCCTGTTTCACTGGCATGCCTGCTAGGTGATGGGGAAGGAACAGAAAGAACAAGCTCAGCCAGGTGTGGGGCTTGCGTTTCTAATCCTCGTACTCTGGGAGACTGAAGCAGGATCATGGTAAGTTTGAACCCTGCCTGAGCAATTTAGTCATGTAGTGAGATCCTGTCTATGAAAACACTTAAAAGGGCCAGGGATATATCTCAGTATGAAGATCCTGGGTTCAATCTCCAATAAAACAGTAGAGCAAGAAGGGAAGAGAGAGCTCCTCTTAAAGATTATATTCATCATGCCCATCCAAGTCCCTGTAAGAAACTCTCCTCTGTCATGGCTTTTCATATTAGCTGTATTTTCAACCCACCTATCTGCTTCCCTGGCCTCCTGTAACAGGAAAACCGCCCTCATTTTTATGATAGGAGGAAACTAAGGCCTCCTAAAATGAGGCAAGCTATACCAAGCCCTCACCAAATGAGTGACAAAGGAAGACTTGAACTTGCATCTTGTCATCCATCTTACTCTCTGTTTGCCTGCTCCTTCTCTTAGAAACTTTCCTATCCTTACCCTTCAACCTGGCCTTATATGTTGGTAACTACCATTTTGCACATTAGAAGCCCTGGGAACGTTCATGTGACAATAAAACCAGGGCTCATGTAGATTCTCTGAGATCTAGAAATTCAATTATGCTATGTTCATTAGCTCACAGTGGTAGCTCACTTGGCCAATCATGCAGACCTGTCTTTCAGAACAGAGATCTTTACAGCAGGAAGAGACTCCAGCAGTCATTTGTTGTAGTGGCCTCGTTTTACAAAAGAGGAAACTGAACTGATAAAGCTAGTGGCCCCACAGTAGGAGTGGGGCAGAAGCAGGAGGCTGGAACCCAAGTTGTTCCATTCCCAGTATCAAGGCTTGTACCTTTTGCCTCCGGGCTTTCCATCACACTCCAGAATAAATGTGAGTCTCATTTGTACTCCGTTGGTCAAGTTTCCTCAGGATTGCATTTTATTAGAAATCGCCAGTAGGGAAAAACTTAGGAATTTAATTTGGATTCGACTGTAGAAAGAAACATTAGTTTCCTTATATCAAAAGGAACCTGCAGACCCTAAAGGGATTATAAAAATTAACTGCATCTGTAGGGAAGAGGCCAGAGCAGGGAGAGTGAAAACCAGTCCATGTAGATTTGGTTTGAATAGTTTATGGATCTTCATAATCATTGTTGACCTAATTTGGTTATTTTACGAAGTTACTAGGGGAAACCTTTTGAAAAACAGTAATGTTTTAAAGTGACATTTGTTTAAAAATATTGCTAACACACAGGATTTACTGTGTTCTAGTTCCACTGCACAAACATTTCTATTTTGGTTAAAATCTTTATAAAAACATACAATACATGTTTAAGTCACCTAAGGAACAAATATTGGCTATA